TTATTATTATTATTATTATTATTATTATTATTATTATTATTATTATTATTATTATTATTATTATTATTATTATTATTATATTAGCATTATTATTATTATATTTATATTTATTTTATATTTATTATTATTATTATAATATTATGAATATTAAATTTAATTATATATATATTAAAAAATGATTGCATAAAAATAGGTCAAGTAATAATTCGATGATGACACGTTCCAAAAACTGGCAATCAGCTACGTTTTCGAAGCGATGCATTTTAGAAACCAGCCGCATAAAAATAACGCGAGTTATTATTTAAAGACGGCACGGTCAAAAAGTTGGCACAGGTTACGAATAAAAAATGATGTATTTTGTAAAATGGCTCCATAAAAGTGACGTCAGTTATGATTTAACGGTTGGTACGTTCTAAAAAAAAGGGTACACAAGTTACGATTCGAAAATAACAAATTTCATAAAATGACTCCACGAAAAAATAACGCCAATTGTGATTTAAAGGTGGCACGATTCAAAAAAGTTCGCTCCAGTTATGATTTAAAGGCGGCATGTATCGAACAATGAAGAAAGTTACGATCTGAAAACGACGCGTTCCAAAATGTCGCGCAATTACCATTTCACGATGATACGCTTCGGAAAAAATGGCGTGAATTACGACGTAACGGCGACGCGATTCAAAAAAATGGCACGAGTCTTACGCTTTCGCGATGGCAGCTGTGAAATAAAAAGAAAAAAATAGGCGAGCGAGCAGTTTCAATCACATTATCATTTCCGGGGGAACAAAAGGCTGCGTTCAGTTTCTAACGAGAAGCCTCCAGCCAAGCAGGAGACTAAAAGCTACCTGCTAACGCGTTGAAGATCGGACCTAGATGACTGCGCACGAATGTCGTTAACGTGTCTAAGACAGGCCGTGGCTCGGTCCGATAAGGTGCAGCAACGCGGTAAGAGGCCCGACCGCGTCGAGGGGAGAGAAAGAGAGAGAGAGAGAGAAAGAGAGAGAGAGAGAGAGAGAGAGAGCGAGCGACAGAGAGGGAGCGAGAGCGGGGCTACGCGGGGGTGTCGGGACGCGGAGGAGGCTCGGGTCGAGAGGAGGACTGGACAGCCTCCGATAAAGGGTCGTGCACCCCGAGCGGCACGCGTGGCCGCCGCTATCCCCGTGCATCTGATTTGCTGCGCCAAACCGCGGCTCGAGCACTGCGAATCGTACGTTTCCGAGTGACTTCGTCATGCCGCAATCCGACCAGCGTGAATCTTCGGAATTGATCAATCCGAACGGGACGAACCGAAACGGTCGCGTTCGTCGCGACATGTCGTCGCTCGCCATCGATCACGATGCACCTTTGACTCCGATTCGACGGGACCGCTCTGCTAACAGCGCAAACGGTCGAAAGAGCTATCGATTCGCTTCAATTTTCCCAGCGATGTCTTTAGCCCCGTTTTTTTGGCCAATAGAAATGTCGAGATGTTCTCGGCCATGTTCGAACGCATCTCGCGAGTCCGATCGAACGTTGAATATATACAGTAATGTCCTCCTAATTGACGCTCGGATTATCCACAAAAATGGACAATTTTAGAAGAGGAGATACGATTGTTCGAGCCTTGTGGCTCGTTCTTTATGGCTATCGATTGTCAACGACTATAAAAACGAATTGCAAGGCTCGAATAATCGTATTTCCTCTTTCAAAATTGTCCATTTCTGTGGACAATCTGAGCGTCAGTAAGGGAGACATTAGTGTACAGTAATGACGCTTAGATTGTGCAGAAAAATGGACAATGTGGGAACAGGAGATACGATTATTCCGGCTTTGCACCATGTTTTTATAATCGTTGACAATCGGTAACTATAAAAACAAGTCGCAAGGCTCTAATTCGCAAGGCTCCTCTTCCTAAATTGTCCATTTTTGTGGACAATCTGAGCATCAGTAAGGGAGACATTACTGTACAGTAATGACGCTTAGATTGTGCAGAAAAATAGACAATGTGGGAACAGGAGATACGATTATTCCGGCTTTGCACCATGTTATTATAATCGTTGACAATTCGTGACTATAAAAATAAACCGCAAGGCTCGAATAATCGCATCTACTCCTCCCAAATTGNTTATTATAATCGTTGACAATTCGTGACTATAAAAATAAACCGCAAGGCTCGAATAATCGCATCTCCTCCTCCCAAATTGTCCATTTTTGTGGACAATCTGAGCGTCAGTAAGGGAGACATTACTGTACTCGCTCACGCGTTACGACGCGATTTTGTACAATAACTTCCGAACGAAGCGTCTAGAAAACGAGCTGCAAGGCTCAAACAATCGTATCTCCTCTTCCAAAATTGTCCATTTTTGTGCACAATCTGAGCGTCAATTAGAGAGACATTATTGTACTTGCTCACACGTTACGACGCGATTTTGTACAATAACTTTCGAACGAAGCGTCTAGAAAACGAGCTACAAGGCTCAAACAATCGTATCTCCTCTTCCAAAATTGTCCATTTTTGTGCACAATCTAAGCGTCAATTAGAGAGACATTACTGTATTCGCTCACGCGTTACGACGCGATTTTGTACAATAACTTCCGAACGAAGCGTCTAGAAAACGAGCTGCAAGGCTCAAACAATCGTATCTCCTCTTCCAAAATTGTCCATTTTTGTGCACAATCTGAGCGTCAATTAGAGAGACATTATTGTACTTGCTCACACGTTACGACGCGATTTTGTACAATAACTTTCGAACGAAGCGTCTAGAAAACGAGCTACAAGGCTCAAACAATCGTATCTCCTCTTCCAAAATTGTCCATTTTTGTGCACAATCTAAGCGTCAATTAGAGAGACATTACTGTATTCGCTCACGCGTTACGACGCGATTTTGTACAATAACTTCCGAACGAAGCGTCTAGAAAACGAGCTGCAAGGCTCAAACAATCGTATCTCTTCTTCCAAAATTGTCCATTTTTGTGGAGAATCTGAGCGTCAGTAAGGGAGACATTATATATATCGCCATAGGCGGTTAATCTACGAACAGAGCTGCCCGCAATTGTCGGGTGACTTAACGCGCGGCGATAAACGCGGGAAACAAAGAAATTACTTTTTCGTATCAGTGTTGATTCTTTTCGCTGTCGGTGGGGCTTGTTGGATCGACGCTGCCCGCCGATTATCGTTTCTGTTTTCACCGATCGTTTCTTTCGAACTGGCGCGTCTCCTGCCAGCCACGAGCAAAGAACGCAGCAGTTTCGCGATTATCTAACATACTCGCGCTTAAACCGCGCGGATCTTTCTAATCTCTTTGCACTTGAAGCCATTTTAACCCTCGGGGGACCAAAACTGTTTCCAGTTTACACACTACCGAGTCCGGACTGTTTTTCAGACGAAGAGAAATTTTTTACTGAAAATTTTTGTATCAAATACAGAGAAGAGATATTAATTTTTTAAATAAAACTTCGTTGATATATCTTCATTGAAACAATCGTGCCTATTCTTCCGATGTTTCCTGCCAGATTTTACGGTTTTGTTGATTTCTGCCGCGTGTATGGCGGCATTGGACCGTTAAGGGTTAATTGTAAATCTAAATTAACATTTCCGACTGATAGTATTTCCATTTTATATGACAAAGTGCATTTTATGCGTATGAAACTGAGTCTTGTGACTCATACAACGGTTAGACTTTTAACAATCTTTTACATTCAAGCTTTGATAATGTTTTTATTTTAAATTATTTTGGCACGTAGTGCAACAATTTTAGCGGTGCTTCAGAGCCACTCGAGTGCAAAGGGCTAATTGTCCGTGTTGTGACTCATACAACACAGTTATACTTTTAACAATCTTTCATATTTAAGCTTTGTTAACGTAAAAATTATCTCGGCACGCAGTGCAACGATTTTAGCGGTGCCTCAGAGTCACCACTCGAGTGCATAAGGCTAATTGTCCGTCCAAGAAATCTCTAATTAAAAAAGCGACTTCGGTCAAACTGAGCCGGACGAAGATCTGACGCGTCGATTGCAGGCAACAAAAATCGTAAATAATACCACGACGTTGTCCAAATGTGTCCGACACTTTGATTTTACAAAGTAATGTCCACCGTCTAATTATAACTATTACGAAATATTCTTTGAATCACCGTGATCCGCGGAGAGATTCGCGATTCGCGCGTGACGGACACGCGATAAAAACGCATCTGAACACAGGCTCCGCGCGACGGCACGGCGCGCGATCGGTTAATTACATTATTCAGTAACCTTCTGTAATTGATTAAGTATTTACTAATTGGTTGCCCACGCGGGCTTACGTCAGCCAGGCCGATCACCGATGCATATCAAAGAAGCTATACACACGGCGACGTAACTCCTCGCCACCTTGAGGAGCGCGCGCGATCAAGAAAACGAAAGCTCTCGAATCGGTAATATGCACTCACCATCTCTGGACATGCCGAGGCGTAGGCACTTTTGCAACCGACAGTACTGGCACCGGTTTCTGTTTACACGGTCGACCACGCAATTCTTGGCCCGTGGACATTGATAGTTAACGACCGACGACTGGGACCGCCTGAAGAAGCCTTTGCAGCCCTCGCAGGTGATCACGCCATAATGGACGCCGCTGCTCTTGTCGCCGCACACCTTGCACGGGATTATTTCGATCTGGGCTGAAAACAGAGAGATGCAGATTCAAGTTTAGTACGGCTGATCCGGCCCGATACGATGCGGTCTTAATGATAATAAACGGAACGACGACGCGAGACCTCCAGGAATTCGCTGATAAAATCGCGACAGCGACCTGTTTCGACGATTTAAACGATAGCGCGAACGATATAATTGCTGCTAGTTCGAGCTTGATTCGACGTTTAAACGAACTTTCGAACGCAACGTTTCTTCGATTTGATATCGGTTTTCAACGTATCGATGATCGATTCTTAGCGAACCGTCGATCGTTTCGTCCGTGTTGCGATGGCAGAGCGGATCAGAGAGGAAGGTGCCATTGTCTGGCACCTTGGTTCTCGCCTCGTCAAAGTTCACGACACCATCGGTCGTTCTCACAAACTATATTTACGGATAACCTTTCGATTGGGAGAGAATACTAGACCGTGGCCACCATTGCGGCGCGATCGTGGCTGCGTTTCAATGCACCATGAACGGGCCTGTTAGGGTCTCCGAGATTTCGTATCGCAATAATGGGGCGCGATAACGGGGCGATAAATTCACCGCGGTTTCCACTGTAAAATTAAGACGAAAAAAAACGAAGCGAGGCTTGTGCCACGGATCCCGACGAATAGAAAGAACTCTTTCATACGACCTATCCTAGATTCTGCACGTTGAAGCGTTGTCAATCGTTCTGAGCAGTAGATCCTCTATTCGACATTCTTTTAATTTGTTCGTTTATCTAATTGTAAGCGAAGGACGATGCTAATTTAGCTTGTCAAACTTTTGTTCGGCCGTGTAAATCTTAGACAGTGGATCTTTTAAGAGAATATGCAATTGCAGATGCTCGGAATCACTTATGGTTTTTCAGACAGTTTTTTAGACAGCTTTTTTAGACAGTTTTTTAGACGGGTTTTTAGACAGGCTTACTGTTTTTTAATTTGGAAATATTTCTAGACGCGATGAGGTCGTTGAAACATTTGCGTTGTGTTCATTTTTTTTCTAATTTAATTGAAATTCTGTGTTACGTTACTGACATTTCGTCATTAGAGCAAAGACAGATATTTTGTAAATACAGTGATGTCTCTCTAATTGGCGCTAAGATTGTCCACGAAGATGGACAATTTGGGAAGAGGAGATACGATTGTTCGAGCCTTGCGGCTCGATTTTAGAGTTACGAAGTGTCAACAATTGTAAAAAATGAGCTGCAAGGCTCGAATAATCGCCCAAATTGTCCATTTTTCTGCACAATCTGAGCGCCAATTAGGGAGAAATTATTGTATGTTTTTTCTCTTGCAACGGAGTACAGTAATGTCTCCCTTACTGACGCTCAGATTGTCCACAAAAATGGACAATTTGGGAAGAGGAGATACGATTATCCGAGCCTTACGGCTCGTTTTTATAATTGTTAACGATTTATAAAAACTATAAAGACAAATCGCGAGGCTCGAATAATCGTATCTTCTCTTCCCAAATTGTCCATTTCTGTGGACAATCTGGGCGTCGATTAGAGAGACATTACTGTATTGACTCTCGCAAGGCGGTGGTTGTGTCAATTTTGATTATTTGAGTAGGAGTATATGAATCATTCACTCGACTACTCAATCATCGACAATAAAATAAAATAAATTGGAACAACAGAATCGGTATTAAGTAGACTGCGAATCTTTAAGCAAATTAAACATTTTCCAAAAGAATTGTGAGAAACGGAAATGAAGTAAATAAAAATTCTTTCTTCTAGTCACTTCAATAAACTAAAAATAGCGTAACTATATCATCAAACTCTTTCCAAGTCATCGCAATTTTACGTTTCAGCTACCCATTTTTATCCTAAATGCGTAAAATCCGCAGTCCAGTAATAAGTCTGCAATAAATATTTTGACGAATAATCGAGCCGTTTATTTTGAAAGTGGCATAAGTCACTTTACCGTGATGAAATGTGATGATTTTTTAATGTTTATACGAAATTATTTATACCGAGAAAAATATCAGTATCCTGAGATAACAAATACAAGTAAATCTTCTCGAAAGTAAGCATCCATATTTTTAGACGTGTTAAAACGCAAACCCTTAAATATATCGACTTAAAAGCAAAGTGACTTATGCCACGTTCAAAATAAACGGCTCAATCTCGACGAGTAATAATACTGCTCCGAATTATTACAAAACATCGCCAATAGCGTAGTCGCGAACACGGTCCTCCGTTCAAAGGGAAAATAAGAAAGATAAAAATACAACCCTGCGAAAGCGTTCGTAGAGCAAGAAAGTCGATTCGCATCCCGCAGGTAACAATACGATACGCGGCAACGCAACGAAGATTAAATACATATACATAGAACGATGCACTTATCGGCCGTGGCTCGTCTCGAGTACCTCGTATAGAATTGACTTGGAATCTACGGTTCTCCGAGGCGTTCTCCGGGCTCGGAATTTCCACGGGCACCCTCGTTCTCGACGTTTCCGGTGGCTGAGGGCTCGTGCTGTCCGCCCCCCAACTAGCTCCGCCGAATGTTGAGAGACTTCCCTCCATTTACGTTTCGCGCTGGCGTGTGTCATTTAAGAACTACACTAATAACTCGGTACGTGAACACATTACGGTGGTCAAACTGCGTCAGTCGTTGACGGTCATCCAGTCATCCCGGTCACTGTTCGCACACAACACATTCGACTTGTCAATCGCCGGCCGAGGCCGCGCCGGATCGTCGCGGGCGGATTCTCAAGACGTCCGATCGATCGTTGGATCGTGTTCCAGGCGAACCAGCACTGTCGGTGCACGACCTTGAAACGGTTTCGCACCGTTCCCCGCGAAACGACCGGGACAGAGCGTCGTCCCCCGGAGACAGTTTTTCTTCCGCGGTTCGAAGCCGGTCGCACGACGGTGAAAATTAGCGTTGACACGTGACCGGTTCCCCCTCGATCGATGGGGCCGCATGGACGCGATTGCTTAGCGCCTGTTTCCGAAAGCACGCCGCAAGGCCGAGCCGCTGCTCCGACGTTCTGCGAAACGACATGTCGTCCGGAGCGTCGCACTTCCGGGGGGCGAAACCGCGCGCGGTGCCGCGAAATCGCCGCGGAACGTTATCGAGCGGACGGACGAGGGGAGGCAGCTACACGTACCCGGGATTAAAAGTATTAATTCCGGCGTGCTCCCGAAAGTAATTTCCAGGCGAGCCTATTTATACGCCCTATAACCTGGATTTCGACCAAGAATACACCCCGCGATCTCCGCCCGAACCAACCCTAAATCAATCCGGCCTCGTGTCCCGCGCGGCATCATCGGCGGGAAGCACGCGACAAATTTTGTATTCGACCTGGGACCCCGCCGGCGCTCGTCGATCACTTCCTCCTCGGCCTGGATCGTGTTCGGCCGCGCGATAGCAATCGAAATAATCCGACCGCGAGGGGAGAGCCCCGGACGCCGGGGCGCTCTCGAAACGCGTGAAAATGGTTTCGCGATTCGAACAGCCGATTCGCGTCGACGAAACTTTTACCGAACGTATTCTTCCCCCGGAAACGGATCCGTTCGCCGTCGTGGCCGGCAAAAAAAGCGTTCGGAAACCAGGCGATAGGTGCACCGCGATGTCTCCGCGCTCTTTAAGAACACCGTTTTACGACCGGCGTCTCTCCGCTCGGCCGTAAACAGCAGCGTTACGCGGCTTTCAGGGATTTCGCGGAGTTCGCGCGCGCGATAAAAAGATTCGGCGAACATCGCGAGCTGGAGAGATAGAGCTAATACTCGATGTAGTTTCGATGTGGTCTTTCTCGCCGGGCGAATGTGTGTCACCACCGGTTGCCGCGAAATTTCTGATAAAGCCCCGACGTTTTATCAGCGGGAATCGCGCGGTGGCTCGCGACGCGTCGGTGTCGACACACGGGGCCGACAGGAATGAGAAAAATGCGAGAAGACTCCCGTGGGGAAAGGAGAGAAAGAGAAGAAATGCGGCTGCTGCAGTGGCTCCCGTTGCCCTCTATTTTCGTTCTCAGCTCGGTAACGTGTGCCTATATCGCGCTGCGAGGGCGCTAAAGCGAAAGAGAGGCGAGAGAGGGTGCCGCTGCCGTTCGACGGAGAGAGAGAGGGAGAGAGAGAGAGAGAGAGAAGGCGAGCGAGAGAGCGAGAGAGAGAGAGAGGCGGCGAAAGATTCAGGCTGCCAAACGGAGAGAGACGGATGGAGACCGAGCGAGAGATGGAAAGGGAGAGACAGAGATATAGATAGAAAGAGAGAAAGAGAGATAGAGAGCGAGAGAGAGGGAGAGCTTGCGGTTCGCGTGTGTGCATCGCTCGTACAGGCCAGCCGAGCCGACTACTGTATTGGAGCGAAGAGGATTCGGTGCGGCTCGGCTCTGTATATTGTGCTTCTCTCGTCCGACAACTCTAGCGCCACGAGTAGCGTCGAGGCGCTTGCACCATACGGTCGAACATTACATAACCGAGAACGATGAACCCAGAGTACAGTCACCCGACACGCTCGCATCTTTGACGTGCGTCATACCGTTGCCTCGAGGAGAGTGCAGCGCCGGCCACTATACCCGGAACTCCCGAAATCGAAGTCGCTTTGTGCCCCCTCCCTCCCACAAGTTCTCGCTTCGCCCGGCCGCCGCACCGTTCCTCCGCGTCTTTTACCTCCTCGCGCACCTCGCGCGCGCGTATCACCCGCTCGTTCACGATCACGCACACGATCACGGGCGCGCCGAACGTCTGCCGAGGTAAATACACGCGGGCCCGACAAAGCGACACCGTTTGCTAAATTGCGGAAACAGAGGGTTCCCGGCGTTCGATCCCGTCCGCTCGCAAAAGCCGCCCCCGCCGGACCCCGCGGGACCCCCCGCGGCCACCGTATAACCCTTGGACACCGTCCAAACCCGTCGACAGTGCGAGCCGGTCGCACCAGACGAACGCCGGGGATCCGCTCTACAAACCGAGACGAGTTTTTTTTTCCTTCGTCCGGCCGTGACTAGGCGCGTAGTTTCGGCCCGCTATCGGCGCCGATCGACGAACGTTTCCAACGCA